TGTGATGACTGCACCTGGGTGATTGATTCTGGTGCATCTTATCATATTACTTCACACAGGGAGTACTTCTCATCCTACACTAGTGGTGATTTTGGCCATGTGAGGATGGGAAATGATGGTTCGTCCAAGATCATCGGTATGGGTGATGTTTGTTTAGAGACTTCCACTGGTTGCAGGTTGGTGCTCAGGGATGTGAGGCATGTCCCAGATATTAGATTGAGTTTGATTTCAGCTGGTCTACTTGATGATGAAGGTTATGCCAACAACTTTTGTGATGGAAGATGGAAACTCTCCAGGGGCAGCTTGATTATGGCTCGAGGTAAGAAGCAGAATTCACTCTATGTTATGCAGGCCAGAGTATGTAGCGGAGATGCCAATGTAGCAGATGATGCCTCCGGTGATTTGTGGCATAAAAGGCTTGGCCGCATGAGTCAAAAGGGCATGCACATCCTTTCGAGGAAAGATTATCTCCCTGACATTTCAGGTATGCCTTTAAACTCTTGTGTTGATTGTTTGGCTGGAAAACAACATAGAGTTGCATTTCATACTCGTCCCCCACATAGAAGAAAGCATGCCTTAGATCTTGTTCATACTGATGTTTGCTCTATGGATGCTAGATCACACCGTGGTGCACAATATTTTGTGACTTTTATTGATGATTTTTCTAGAAAAGTGTGGGCTTTTTTTTGAAATATAAAGATCAGGTACTTGAAGCTTTTAAGGAGTTTCATGCCAGAGTTGAAAGAGAAAGTGGCAGAAAGCTCAAGTGTGTCAGATCAGATAATGGTGGTGAGTACAGGGGTCCATTTGAGAACTATTGCAAAAGTCAGGGCATCAAGCTTGAGAAGACCGTTCCGAAGACACCTCAGCTTAATGGAGTTGCAGAAAGAATGAACAGAACAATTGAAGAGAGAATCAGGTGTATGTTATCTCATGCTAAGCTGCCAAAGTCCTTTTGGGCTGAGGCAATGTTCACTGCCGTGTACCTGATTAACCTTCCCCCTTCAGTTCCTCTTGAAGGTGATGTTCCTCAGAGAGTTTTGTCAGGGAAAGATGTATCCTATAAGCATTTGAGAGTCTTTGGTTGCAGAGCATTTGTTCATATTCCCAGAGATGAGAGATCCAAGCTTGATAAGAAGACCAAAGAGTGCATATTTTTGGGGTATTCAGAGGATGAGTTTGGGTACAGACTATGGGATCCACGTGATAGGAAAGTGATCAGAAGCAGAGATGTGGTTTTCTTTGAAGATCAGACTATTGAAGATTGTGAGAAAAAGCAGGCAAATCCTTCTCCATGCATCACAGTTGATCTAGTTCCATCTCTTCCTCCTGTTGTAGTCCCTCAAAATCATGGGGGAGATATGCATGATCATACAGTTGAGTCTCCTGCAGATGACCATCATGATGATGATAATCATGATGATGGTGGTGACGGTGTTCCAGAGTCACAACCACACTCAGAGCCACCATCAGCACCTCAGTTGAGAAGATCCACCAGAGTCAGAAAACCTTCCACGAGACTTTCGCTCCTACTAAAACACAATCAGTGTCTACCTCCTCTCGGTCTCTGTATACTACTCCGATACAGTGTACACGTGGCGCTCTTCACCATGCTACGGTACGTTCTACTCTACTGCAGGAACGTACTCTTGGTGTGTATACTCGAACAAGAGTTGCCTAAAGGCCAGAGAGCACTCAAGAACAAGTGGGTATACAGATTGAAGTGTGATGAGAGTAGCTCACAACCAAGGTACAAGGCAAGATTGGTTGTGAAGGGTTTCAGTCAGAAGAAGGGCATAGATTTTGATGAGATATTTTCTCCCGTTGTGAAGATGACCTCTATTCGAGTTATACTTGGCTTAGCTGCTAGCATGGATTTGGAGATTGAACAACTTGATGTGAAGACAGCATTTCTTCACGGTGACCTTGATAAGGAAATCTACATGGAACAACCTGAGGGCTTTCAGGTTAAGGGAAAAGAGAACTTAGTTTGCCGTTTGAAGAAAAGTTTGTACGGTTTGAAGCAAGCACCTCGGCAGTGGTATAAGAAGTTTGAGTCCTTTATGGTTGATCATGGCTTCCACAAAACACACGCTGATCATTGTGTGTTTGTGAATAATTACTCCGAAGGTGACTTTCTTATTCTCCTTTTATATGTAGATGATATGTTGATTGTTGGCCAGGACACCAATAAGATTGCTAGCTTGAAGAAGTCATTGAGTAAGTCCTTTGCAATGAAGGACTTAGGCCCTGCTAAAGAGATTTTAGCCATGAGGATCACGCGGGATAGAAAGAACAAGAAACTTTGGTTATCCCAAGAGAGATACATTGAGAAGGTGCTTGGTAGATTCAACATGAGCAATGCTAAACCCGTGAGCTCTCCACTTGCAGGTCATATGAAGTTGTGTGTGGACCATTGCCCTACAAGTGAGAAAGAAAAGCAAGAGATGAACAAGGTGCCTTATGCTTCAGCCGTGGGTAGTTTGATGTATGCCATGGTATGTACGAGGCCAGATATTGCACATTCAGTTGGGGTTGTTAGCCGCTACATGTCAAATCCGGGTAAAGAGCATTGGACAGCCGTGAAATGGATTCTCAGATATCTTAGAGGTACCTCCAGAGTTTGTTTATGTTTTGGTATTGGACAACCTGTGTTAGATGGGTACACAGATGCAGATATGTCTGGAGATGTTGATACTGCAAAGTCTACCTCGGGATACTTGATGACATTTGCTGGAGCTGCAGTTTCATGGCAATCAAGATTGCAGAAGTGTGTTGCTTTGTCCACTACTGAGGCAGAGTATATAGCAGCTGTCGAGGCAGGCAAGGAGTTGTTATGGATGAGGAATTTTCTTGAGGAGCTTGGTTTAGAACAAGAAAATTATCTTCTTCATTGTGATTCACAGAGTGCCATCCACCTTGCCAAGAATGCCGCATTTCATTCTCGAACCAAACACATTAAGAGAAGGTATCATTGGATTCGAGAAGCCGTGGAGGATAAGTCTTTTGAACTTGTGAAGATTCACACTAATGAGAATTGCTCGAATATGTTAACCAAGACATTGCCGAAGGAGAAGCTCATGTTCTGCCGTGAGAAGGCTGGTTTGTTTGCTAACTCCATGTAGGAGTGAGGGGGAGATTTGTTGGGAAATATCCCTCCTACATGGAGGAAGTGTCCAATTTTAATTGGACAAATACTTTACATCTATCTTTTATATTTGGGCTTATTTTTTGTGTGTAAAGCTTGAGCCCAAATGTTTTATGGTGGCCCATATACTAAATAAATGAAAAAAAAAGAGTGAAAGAGATAAGGTAGCACAAAAGCAAAAAGAAGTGGAGAGGAAAAAGGGGCAGTAGCTAACGCATGAGAAGAGGAAGAAAAATCAGGTTTCCGCCACTGTGCAGCAGCCACTTTTCTCGTCCGGATCGAAGGCCAAACGAAGTCTGATCGTACTCAAATTTTAGTATGTTGTTCCTCACATACTCCTCTTCAAATCCAACGGTCAGTTTCTCGTTTTGATGCCCGGAAAGTGGTTTTCTTGCTGCGTTTTCAGACCTGCGTTTTTGGGAGTTTTTACTCCATTTTATGGTGAATTGTTGATTGTTGTTTGTTCCAAGGTTGCTCCTTGATGATTGTGTATGCCTCTAGTGTTTACTAGAGAGGAGAACTTGTTGTACCCACTTGATTCTTGGTGATTAGTGGAAGTTTGGGCGCCGTTGTTGAGCGGCCGTGGTTTTCTCCCCAATTTGGGGTTTCCACGTAAATCGTGTGTCATCTATTTTATTATCGCTGCCATTTATTTGTGTGTGTGCTGCTGATTTTTCAGAGTTCATTGTGCTTGTTATTCATCTCATTAATTTGGGGAAAAGATTTTATACGCTTCCGTTGTGTTTTGTTCCGTGCTTCCCCAACAGGCAGCAGCGACACTAACTTCTACTCTTCGTACACTAGTGGCAGCAGTGTGTTACGACCGCATCCAAGGGCGAAGAGCATGGCGGACCAGGGACGCAAGCACCGGAGCAAGGAGGCGTAGAAGCACAACCATACAGTGAGTTACGTCGGGGGTCGCGGAAAGGAGATCGACCTCCGACGTGGCGAAAGGATTACGAGACTTAATATTTTAGATGTTATTTAATTTATTACCTTTGTACTTTAGATTTTCTTTAGGTGGGCGAATTATAAGTTCTTCGAGGATTTTTTTCGATTCCTTACCTCGATGCCTTTCTTGAACGGACATGATAGACAATTAGTTAACTAGGGTTTCGGGAACTATTATTTAAGGAGTTGTAAACACACGAATGGGAAAATAATAATAAGAATATCAACCTCTTTTCCCTACTCTCTTCCTCTCTCCTGAAATCCTAATTCTCCTCTGTATATGTGTGCAGTGTGTGCATGTATGTGTTATATATATATATATATATATATATATATATATATATATATACATACATACATGCATACATATAATAACGTATTAAATTTATAAAAACAGTTAAAGATTTATTTTTGTTTGAAATATTCCAACATCATGTATCCTATATAGAATCATCTTTAAAAAAAACTCTATTCGGTTCGACTCTTATTTTACGATCTGGAAAAAGAACCGTAGAAAAACCAGAAAGGAGCATATAATTTTGCTCGACACTCTTAAAAACTAAGATATTATTTTGTATATATTATATTGGGTAATGACATATTTTGCATCCCACTCTGTTTGACATCTTATATTAATCCTCATCGTCGTCGACTTCGGATTCTGGATCCTCGTCTTCGTTGTCGACTTCGGGTTCTTCGTCGTCGCCTTCGCATTCTTCATCCTCGCCTTCGTCCTCTAAATAGACTTCTACGTATTCGTCGTCTTCGTAGTCGGTTGATGAATCATATTCATCGCCGCTATCAGCCATTATTATTATTATTATTATTAGCTCTTTCTTTTTTATTTTATTTTATTTTATGAATGTATGGGATTATGGGAATGAAAGGAGTAATGTGTGTATATATATCACTCTTGCAATGTTACTTGTTTACTTTGTTGGAAGTGAGAGGGTAAAGATGGCCATTTCTTGTACTCCGTACTTATTTATACATGGCTCCGTGATTGATTGGGAGAGTGTATTTTCTTATTAAGTTTCTAAAAACGTCATATGATGTGATGTGTATAATCCTTTATATATTATATTTGGGAGTTTAACTCCCAGAATTTTGACATTTGTCATGCTGACGGGGATTTTTTTTGACACTTCATAAGCCATGTCATCATATTGGACTTACTCAATATTTCAAACGGGTTGGATAATGATTCATTGCTTTGGGCTTCTTTTATTTGGGCTACTCTGTGTGGAATTCATCCGCAAGTCTGAATAAAGCGAGATAGGCACTTTCCTTCGATTGCACCTCCCTGCGATATTCATCTTCGAATGGCTCCACCGCGAGATTTCAGAGATTATGTGATTGGAATTAATCTCTTTCCTTCTTCACGGTCCTTCTTCACGGAGATTCCAACGATTGTCGATTGGTACCAAGAATATGTAACTTTCCCTTTTCTTAAAAAATCATAATTGTTTTTGGGATGATTGGCCTTCTTTTCTTCTTATGATGATTAGTCTCTGTGAAATTTGTTCTTCTTTCGAATTTTCCGGTTCAAATCTCTGGATTTTCTACCCTTATTGCTGTAAGTTTCTTTCTTGCGATTTATATTAGATCATATATAAATCAAATTTTAAGTAAGTCATTTCATCAATCTATTTTTTCATTATGAGCCGCGTTCACACCTAAAACCTTTGATAAATTGATATGTTTCCAAACCGATCCACCCTTTGTTCAAGATCAATCCATCAAGTGAATCCTGGAGAGTTTTGGTTCGTGGGATTCGACTATAAAAGATGCCAGTGTATCATGATGAGAAGATGAGGAATTTGATTCAGATGATATTCATAGACGAACATATAAGAATTGTACTCTTATTCGTATTTTGCATACAATATAAAATTTATGTTTAATAGGATTTCTTATAATTTTTTAGTGGCTGGAAGGTTATTTTACTTTTACTTTTAAAACACAATTATACTAATCTGTCAAGGAACCAACTCAACCAAAAGCTCAAGCTTGTGGTTGTGGCCCAGGAACAGATACTTATATATTCTAACACGCCCCCTCACGTGCAGGCGTAGTCTTTTTTCGAGCCTTGCACATGAAATCTTAAATTTTTTTAAACTGGGTGGCGCTGAGTTTCGAACCCGTGACCTCTTAGTCAACTAGGCTCTGATACCATGTCAAGGAACCAACTCAACCAAAAGCTCAAGCTTGTGGTTGTGGCCCAGGAACAGATACTTATATTCTAACATAATCTGTATAAAAAACCAAAATTCTTCAATTGCCCATATTGAATAAATAAATGAAGAATGATAATTCTTTTTTTTAAATCCCAGAAACAAACACCAAAATCGGTGTGGTGAGACTGGGAACGTGAAGAATGATAATTCTGCTATTCTTAAAGTATAATGAGTCTGCTTTCCTTGAAGCTTCTACTTTTAGCACCATAAAAATTTTTTTTATTGAAGTACTGAAGAGTTAAGCCTGTCCTTATTTTCAGATTTATAGTCTTCTGTTTTTGAACATATATTTGGGAAAAATAATCGAAGGAGACTATTGCATAATCAAGGTATATTAATAGAGAAATAGTTTTTTAACATACTAATCCGTACATAATGCATTGTCTTGAAACCTACAATTTTTATTCAGAATTTTGTAGAATTAAATAAGTTCCATTATTTCTATTTCTTTTTTCAGAGCTTATAATTTCTCAAGAAGACCTAAAGAATGTATGTCTGGTTGAGAATGAAAAGTTGCTTAATTCAAATGGACGGTCTTTAAGGGAATTCAGTTGTATGCCATTTCCAGAGATGACAGTCCACTCAATACATTTCAAAATAATATGTTGGTTGAGGAGTTGAACTATGATAAAGAAAAGTTGTCATCTGATCTTATAGGATACTTATCTACGATGAATGAAGATCAGCGGAAGATATACGATGAAATAATGGAAGTTGTGACTGCTCGAAAAGAAGGATTCTTTTTTGTGTATGGTTGCGGTGGAACTGGAAAAACATTTCTTTGGAAATCATTTTCTGCTTCTCTAAGATCAAGTGGTAAAGTTGTCTTGAATGTCGCATCCAGTGGGATTGCAGCATTGCTTTTGCCTGTGGGAAGGACATCACACTCCAGATTTTCAATTCGTTTGGCACTAACAGAGTGCTCAACGTGTGCCATCAAACAAGGGAGCCCTAAAGCAAAACTAATTCAATAGGTAAGTTTAATCATATGGGATGAAGCATATATGATGAATAAATTTGCTTTTGAGGCATTGATCGCACGATGAGAGATCTAATGAAGTTCTCTAATCCCAACTCAATAAATGAACCATTTGGAGGGGAAACGGTTATACTCGGAGGTGATTTCAGACAAATTCTTCATGTTTTACCCAGAGCTTCGAGAGAGGAAATTGTAGGTGCTACCATTAATTCTTCAAATTTGTGGTCTTATTGTAAAGTTTTTAAGTTCACGAAAAATATGAGATTGCATTCTTCAACGTCCTCTTGCATGGATAGAAACACACAAGATTTTTCTGATTGGATAATCAAAGTTGGAGATGAAAAGCTTAGCTTGGACAAGTGATTGATGAAACTACTGACGTTGAAATTCCTCTCGATTTTTTGATTATAGATAATAGCTCACTCCTCAAAAGTATAGTGGACTTTACTTATGCGAACTTATTGGATAATATGAGAAGTTATTCTTTTTTTTGAAGACAGGCCACTACTAGCACCCACGCTCGAAGTTGTAGAAATGGTAAATGAATTTGTCTTATCCCTCATTCTCGGAGATGAAAGGGTGTACTTGAGTTCTGATTCATCATGCCAAGCAGATTCAAAAGTAGGTGTTGATGGCGACTGGATAACAGTTGAGTTTTTGAATGAAATCAAATGTTCAGGAATCCCAAACCAAAGGATAGTTTTAAAAAAAGGGGTACCAATTATGTTACTAAGAAACATTGACCAAACATCTGGATTGTGTAATGGTACAAGATTAATTGTTGATGAGATGCGAAAGAATGTTTTTGGTGCTATTGTGGTTTCGGGAAATCGAGTGGGCGAAAAAGTTTACATACCCCGGAAGAATTTGGTACCGTCTGATCTAGGACTACCTCTAAAGTTTCAGAGAAGACAATTTCCAATAGTCTTATGTTTTGTTATGACTATTAACAAATTAAAAGTCAAGGTCAAACACTGTCATTTGTTGGATTATTTTTAACGAAGTCAGTGCCCACTCATGGTCAGCTTTATGTTGCTGTTTCGCGAGTGTTGACAAAGACAAGATTAAAAATATTAGTCTTAGATGACAATGGAAATCCTTGCAGTCATACAAAAAATGTTGTATACCCTGAAATCTTTCAAAAAATTTGGTATTAAAGCAAACTTTGTTGTGTGTAGATTCAATTCCTCAAATATTATTCTTTTTACTTTGCCTTTTTTTTCTGTGCTATTATAAATCATGCATTAGGTATATTTCCTTTATTCCGAAAAAAAAATTGCATTGAATAAATTCAGAATCGACAAGATATTCGTCCGAACCCGTGCATTGCACGGGTAAGAATACTAGTTATAGTTTGATTTGATAGATTAATACGTACTGAATGAATGTAAATAGGTAGAATAAGAATTAATAGGGTAAATGTTTTTTGTTACGGATTAAAAAAAGGAGAAATATTTTAAGAGAGACAAGGAGTGACGCTTAGTGGATTATTTTTATAAATGTTTGCACTAAATAGCCCTAAAATTTAAGTCATTTCTCTAAATAGCACTTAATTGTTTTATTCCCTAAATAGCACTTAATAATGTCCAGTGATGGCAAACATTTACTAAAATAATGACTAAAAGTGCTACATTGGAAAAAAATACATGTAATACTATTTAGAGAAAGTCATGTTTTACGGAGGAAAGAACATTTTTTTACATATTTTAGTGTTATTTACATAAATTTCTCCTATTTCTAAAGCATGTTTTACGGAGGAAAGAACATTTTTTTAATACGTCATGTTTTAAAATTTCATTTTCAATAGTCAATACTCTCCCTTCAACGGAGATATCTTTTCTATGGAATAGTAAAGTACTTTCAAAATATAAATTGCAAAATATAATACGGAGTACTCCGTACTTTTTATGTCCTTAAAAAATGTCAAATTATGCAAAACAAAGCAAAATATCAAAACTTTTTAATTTATTTTATTTAAAAATTAGTATAGAAATAAAAAAAATTTGGAAAAAAGGTTTCGACATTCCAATTCTTAGAATTTTTTAAACGTTCCAAAAAACTTTTTTGTATAATTATTTTTTGTATATTTCTATTTTTTCATCGCTTTCCCTAATTTTTATTTTTTATTTTTTTATTCTAGATTTTCTTTTTTGAACTTCCCAAAAAATAGTTTTTTTAAAAAAATTCTACTCCCCTAGATTTCCTTAATTTAAATAGTTTTTTTAAATTCCCAACAAATTGAAAGTATTTAATTTGAGAGAAATGGAGTTGAGTATATGTTAATTTTTTCATTTTTTATTTCAAACACAAACAGTTTTGGATTTTTTTAAATATTATTAAGAAATCAGAAATAAAATTAAAAAATTCTTAAGGAAAGGAAAATAAGAGAAGAAAAAAGAAAAAAACAAAAAAAATGAAAAATGAGAAAAAGGCTTTGTTGCTGCCCTGTTGTTTGGAAAATATGTATCAATGCCTCCTTTCCGAAAGTTGACCAAAAAATTATTAGAGAGGGTGCGCCTTTGTATTTTACAAATTAAAACTTCATGATCATTATTCCAACTTGACGAAATTCCAATTACAAAGAATTACTGACTCTGTTTAACAAAATTCTTCCGTCCTATTTTTTTTTAATAAAAATAATAACGTTTTATACTATAGGTATACATTTTAAGTAACAAAATCTACATTATTAATTTTAAAATAATTTGAAATAATACATCTAGAAAGAAATTGAAAACGGTGAGGGAACGAAAGGTTAAAAGAGAATTAATCCAACGGCTGAACAAATGAGTCATGTATGATCAAATAGCCATAATCCAAACATTCTTTTTAGCTCTTTTGACTAAACAAATGTGTCATGTATGATCAAACAACCATGTAATGGTTGAAAAGTCATTTGCCAAACAAGGCCCGGCCAAAACGTCTAAAATGCTTCCAAAAACAATTTCTAATCATAATAAACTACGTAATGTGGGTGTAATTTAGATACTTTGGTTATGGAATAAAAGTGTTTTCTAAGGTTCGCAAAAAATTTGGGCAGAAAAAATTTGTGAAAATTGAGGGAGTATGTTTTTTTATATGGATCAAAACAAATTTGTAAGTGTTTTGAACATAGTTTTTAGTGTTATTGACTTGACTACAAAGTTCATACTATTTAATAGCTAATAAAATTATTAGTTTTTTAAATTATACTACATCCATCGCAATTTAAATCAAATGTTCACTATTCGCGCGATCAAAGACTAATTACTGTCTTTGGTTATTTTTGTTACGCATTTGAAAAAAATAATAATTTTGTCATATCTGAATTTGTAGAATTTTTAATGTAGTTTTTAACATATTACTTCTATTTTTTACTTACACACCAATTTTTAAATAAATAAAATTGAAAATAGTTTTAGTCAAACATCATAAATCACAATTCACAATGAACAATTTATATCCATGTGAAGAGAGTACTATATATGTATACAAACAATACATTTTTTATTTAACTGAAGTTAATAAAAATTCTTCTAGATTTACTAAAAAAATGTCAAATTAGACATTTAATTTGGTAATGATAGTTTGGCACAATAATAATTACTCATGGTGTTAGTTGTTATGACAACGAGCCTAACAATCACCAAAAATACGTACAAGCTATTTTTGACGTGAAAACTCAAACTAGGAGAAAATCATTGGCCTTTTTTGGCGGTACCATGCCAAGGTGAAAATTTTATTAATATCGAGGTTTGTACATTGTACATTATCTTGGCATTATAGCCATTAGTGGGGTATTTTAGCTCTATAAAGAATAAATAATACAAGGAGTATTTTCTAAGTAATGTGAGAGAGTATAATTACATAGTAGTGTATGAGAAAATATGGAAATTGGTCTCCTCATCCTGGAGGTGAATGGTTCCCTTTATAGTGAGAGATGAGGGAGTAGTTATGGAAATAAATACGATAGGATGTGATGGGTGGAGGTAGTTATGGTAATGAGTGAATGGTGGATGTAATTAAGGGTTGTTAGAGCATCTCCAACCATCTTTGCTATATTAAATTGCTATTGTTAAATTTTACTCCATTCTCCAACTATGATTGCTAAAATTTAACCAACAACTAGATTTTAAAATATAATGAATTCCCTTTTAGTAATTAAAACTGAATTAATTCACTAACGGTCATATTACAACGACCATTTCATCTCCACTGTATTTAGTGGTCATTTGCTCATCCCATTCATTTTAACTTATTTGAGTAGTACTATTCTAGTATCCAAAAAAACACTAAATTTTCAAATGACTCATCACTTTAATCCCTCTTGTCTCCATGTGATGATCTTTTTGATGGGGAAAATAACTTTGAGTTGTTAGCTGCACCCGTTATGGAAGAAGAAGAAAATGATATGGAACAACATTCAAAGCGACGTACGTGGGTCAGTTCCTGATCATTCTATAATTCAACGCGATAGAGAAGGAGGTCATTGATGAAGATTATGGAATGATTATGAGCGGGTAGCAAAAGTGATTGCTGACCATATATAATTTTTCAGGCTCATCATCCTATTTTAGATTTTGGTGATAGAGTGTAAGACTTTTGGCGCACTGCTGCATGAAAAATTAATCACTATATCTGCGATAGATCGGAAACAGACAAGCAGTCCGTCGAAGATCGAGAATGGAATCTGCAACAAATTAAAGATCATTCTACTCCAGAACAAAAATTTCATAGTGGTGGGGAAATCACCTTTTATAACACGTACCTTTTACATAGTTTCAATATGTCATCAATCAACAAACTATGAATATTACTAGCTAGTAAACTACTCCGGTCTCCGGATATAAAAAAAAAGTATGATACATGGAACAAAAATCTAGGAAAACTTTACAACAATATTCTTAAAATTGCACGATTTTACATTATTACTTTCAGATTCAATAAATGACACCACTGCTCCCAAATTGATTTGTACGTTTACGTCTCTACTGTTAATATTGTACTATATGTTTACATTGGTGCTCTCAAGTTGAACCAAGGGTCCACCCAATGTTGGAGCACCAATGTAAATATATAAAAACTCATGGAACACCGGTGTCATTTGTTGAATATGTGAATAATTATATAAAATCACAAAATTTTGGAAGTAATAGTGTGAACTTTTTCAAAAAAAAATGTTAAGGGTAGAAAAGTTTGGCAAACAAAAGCTCATTCCAAGTATCAGGAAGGCCAGGCAAACACCAATGTACACAATCAGCATAGCTAAGTGGGTCAGCCAGTTGCTCTGGGGTGAGAGGACTCCATTGCTGCTTGTAAATTGAGGTGTGGGCATCTTTCCTATAACTTGACAATTGTGTTATGTTTAGGACTGTTATTGGGACACTTGACCTTCCAAGTATCTCCCCAGTCACTCTCATTATGTTCCTTTTAGACTCTGATCCCCAATAGTTTGGATCTTCTATTGGTGTTGTTTGGTTGTAACAATTCTCCCTTGGGCCACCTCCCCATTCTATGCCCCTAATAATAAGACAAAAAAAAAGAAGAAAAAAAAGAGGTATATATATTTATGAAGCACATGGTATATTTTTACGTAACAATATATGAGTCTCTGGATAAAAATTATCCCTCGCTTGAAAATATTCTTACCGTTATTCGACTTTTCACGGTTTTCGATCTAAGACATTAATTATTAATACAGACACACACACACACCCTTCTTACAAAAAAATGAGGTACTACTGAAGATTAAAAATTACAATGATTGACTGGATTCATTTTCAATTTAATTTATGCAAATAAAATCTTTATATTTAAGAACTCTATCAAATGCTTTATTAAACAAGATATGAGATGACTAAATAAGAAATGAAAAAGATACGTAGTATTTATTATATTTACGTTTAAAATAAGATTAATTAAAATAAGTACATATATTTAGAAAAAAATCATGTTTCAAAATGAAGTTATTGATATTAAATATACAGAAAATATCGATATAAAAAAAGTCAAATGCGAAAAAAATTCGGACTGAGGGAATAATAATTAGTCATGTAATGAACTCACTTTTGATGGGAAGGAGACATGCTTGTGAAGAAGACTCTGGTTTGGTTTGGGTCCATATTTTGGTTCACCCATTTCACCAAAGTTTTCAATCCCATACTGTAAGCTTCCTCTGTTGATACCATCACTACATCTTTCTCTTTATCCTCAAATGATCCTGATTGCCTATATTTGACAAACAATTTAATTGAAACCAGAAATGTAAAAACTCCAAAATTGAGAATTAAAATGGTCATTTTTTCATCAAATAAAAAAAGCCACTTTGCTCTCAATGATGGGATGCCCACAATTGTTTTTTTACATTCTAAGAGACTGTTGTTGTTAGGTATGTATACTCTTTTGGACTGGAAAGAGCTCAAAACGATTGATAGAAATATTACTCATACCATTAGAAGGATTTCTTTTCGCGAGCTCGTAACTTAGAAATTTCAAAGTTAAGCGTATTTGACTTGAAACACTTTTAGAATAGATCACATTAGACCGGATCGAAGATCTTTTAAATCTAAATTCAGTAATCTATGGATCGAAAACCGAATCTAAAAAAGGTTTGTCCTTGATGGGACTGATTGAAAATCTAAATTCAATAATCTAGAGGAACCTAAAAAGTTCCTCTAAACCAGTCTTTTTGGTTTGGATCGATTCAAACCGAATTAGGACCTTCTATATACACTGAAAAAATAATACTCCCTCTGTCCCTAAATAAACTTCCTCTTTCGTTTTTTCTTTGTCCCCAAATAAACTTCTCTTTTCTTTTAAAAAACCTTTTTTACCCCTTACTTTTTCATACCCTACCTATCACATCATACCTCTTTACTAATAATCTACCTATCACATCCATAGTTTTAAAAACCGGACCGGACCGGCCGGTTTGGACCGTGAACCGGCAAACAGGTGGTCCAACCGGTCCGGTCCGGCCCTTTGGACCGTAACAAGCATTGAACCGGTGTGAATCGGCTGGTTCGACCGGCCGAACCAGTTTTTTTTTTCAATTTTTTTCCAAAACATGCAACCATTGGAGTTTGAACCTAAGACCTTTTAGACATTTGGCTGAGTTCATAACCATCCAAGCAAGAGTGTTTCTTGTTACAAGTTCACTTAATCCTTTATAATATTACATAATTAAAAAAAGATTGTATAAAAATTCCTTTTTAATTTTAAAAATATAATATTATATAGCTATGAATCAAACACAAAATCATTGATATTATTGATATTATTACAAAATGAATATCATGCAAAGATTTCATTTCAGTGTTTTTCAATATTAAATAACTTATTTGAAAAAAAATAAAGTCAAGTCTTCATTTATAAAATTGTAAATATTCTTTTTCTAATATGTAAATTTTATTTTTTAACTCATTAAATAAACCAAGTATTTTAATATACTTTTAGTCAAATGTTATAAATTACTTTCTTTAGATATTTATAAATGAGAAAGTTTGTGTGTCTATATGTATGTGTTATATATTTATTTATTTATTTAATTTTTAAATATGTTTAAACCACCGGTTCGACCAGTTGAACCACTGGTTCGACCAGTGAACCAGTGAACCAATACCTTGACCGGTTCGGTCACCGGTCCGGTTCTGAAAACTATGATCACATCTTACTTTTACACATCACATCAAGGGTATTTTTGGAAAGTCAACACAAAAATATTCCTCCTTTAAATCTTCAAAAAGTCAAAAATGGAAGTTTATTTAGGGAGGGAGGGAGTATGAAGAAGAAAAAACACACAAAATAAATTAGGACGGATAAGAAATACTTACAAGATTTTGAAGTCATTGCCAGTCATCCACCAAAGGTAGGTGTCGAAGACGATGATGTCAGCACCTTTCCAGAATGTTCCATGCTTGTTGATTGAACCTTTGCGGACCACTCGGTCTTGTACCCTATGTACCACTGCGTCGTCCGAGTTCGACTCAAGAAGAAATGGGGCCCAGTAAAACTCCAATGTCGCATTATATTCCTGTTTAATTAATTTTTCTAAATTATTTAAAAAAAAAGACTAATAAAAGTTTTTTTTTGTTTTTTCTACATTATTTTTTTCATAACTTGAATATGATTTGATTAATTATAACGAGTTGTTGAGAAAAAAAAGTCCCACGTTAAAAAGTTTAAATTATATATTATAAAACTACATCAAAGTTTTATAAAATAAAATGTGACAAAAATATTTTAATTTATGAAATTATACTCCCTCCGTTTCTTAAAATTCTTCCTCTTTCATTTTTTTTGTTTTTCTTAAAATACTTCCCCTTTCTATTAAAAAACCACTTTTACCCCTACTTTTTCATACCCTACCTATCACATCATACTTTTTCACTAACAACTGAACTATCACATCTTACTTTTACCCATCACATCAAGGGCAAAATTGGAAAGTCAACTACAATTTAACACTTCCTTATTTTCCCCCAAAATCAAAAGAGGAACTCTTTTGAGAAACGGAGGTAACATGAAAATGCATAAGTACAAAAAGAGTATCATCAGACTATATAGTAATTAAGACGATTAGTTTGGGATGGTGTTTGTGCTGGGAACATTTTATAACGTTGCATTCAATTATATTCGATGTTTGATCTTTTAATTTTAAAAAGAATTTAGGTAGAAAATTTTTGTTTTGAGATAAAATCAGGAGTAAATTGCATAAATGATTCCTAATTAGATATAAAAAAAAGTTAGAAACCATCTTTTAATTTCTTTTCTTTTTTTAATGATATAAAAAAAGTTAAGCATTTCTACAAAAATTGAAATTTAAATTAGTGTTACGTGTAACACATTAGTGTGATTCTTTATAAAAACTAATAGTAACCTTTTTTTAGTCGCGCACTCGCGCAATAGAATATTTTATACTATTATTTATTTTTTTCTTGAAGGTGATTAAAAAAATAAAATGGAAAAAAAATTAACAAATAAAATAGGACAAAAAAATTGAACAAATTCTATATAAATGAAAAACAGAAATATTAAAATAAATACTCGGTATAAAATATGAAAAAAATCTGAAACAAAAAAGCGATAAAAAGAATACTAGTAATTTTTAATTTTTATTTTACAAAATACTCCGTATAACTTAGTTTGAATAGAATTAGGTAAATATTAAATAAAAAATGAGAAATTTATCTGAATAGGACTAAAACATAATGACTTTCCCAATATATGACCATATGTTTTTATTTCCCAATGTAGGACTTTTGGTCATTAACAAGTAGTCATTATTCAAGTAAATGTCCACCACCATTAATGGACATTATTCTTCCCACTAGGTCATTATTAAGTCCTATTTAGAGAATAAAAAAGTTTAAGTCCTACATTGAGAAAGTCATTATGTTAAAGTCCTATTTAGTGCAAATTTTACATAATAAGAAGTTAGAATGGAGTCATTGTAGTTGAAGGGATGCACTACAGGTGTGAAGTGAGTGTCATCGTGATTGCAGTCAATGTTGATGTAGCACTGAGTGGTTGCTGATTTGGAGTGCTACATATAGTCTTCTGTTGTACCATTTAAAAAAATTGACCATTCTAATTTTTCTTAATTCTCAATAAATTCCCACCCTGTCCAGACTCGAACCCACCTTCGACCCGATCTTGAAAAACGAATGGATCGAATAGAATATTATGAGATTTTATTTGTATTTGAAAAATGATATCATTTTTCATATTCATGAATAATTATTACTATTCGTATATGATTCGATATTAAATTGAAATATTCTGCTCGATTCTGTTATAAAAGATTAATTTTGAGCTTTTTTACATTTTAATTAAAACTTCAAAAATTAATACCTCATAAATTAATCATATACAGAGTACACTAAAAATGGAATGTACGCAACAACAACAACAACCCATTCAAGTCTCACAAAAGTAGGATTTAGGGGGGTGTACGCAAACCTTGGTCCTATGAAGTACTCTAAATATTATGTCTTGTATTTATTTTTAAGCAAATATATTAGGTATAAATTGTTATATTTAAATTTGAACATATACGTTAACATACAGAATCGAATACATACACATTCGTATTCGCTTTCTTTCAAATTCTAAAAATATTTATATTTCTATTCGTATTCATTTTTTCGAAAATAAATCATTGATTTCGAACATGAATCCTGAATCAAATCAAAACTAAAGAAGGAACGGCTTACCTTAGCGGTGAAAACAGTGAGGGAACCAAATTCTTGTATGGATTTTGCATTGTGAGGAAGGAGCCTATGGAGAAGACAAACCATAGAAACAAATTGTCCTCTGTTAACCGAATCTCCCACAAACATCATCTTCTTCCCCCGCAAGCTTTCTAACATTAATGTCGCATTGAAACTGTAAATTAATTAAGATCAAATAGTTATTCAAATTTCTCTTTTTAATGATGATTTCTCTAATAATCAGCAATTCAAATCAATATTAGTTCACAAATGGTATTGGTGTTATTGGTAATTTATCTCTCACTATTTATGTAGCAGTCTACATGGTATACATGGGACATAGTTGTCAAGATTGGGAGGCCCAAAAAAGAAAATCTTTCCTATGTGACTCTTTTTAAACAAATTGGTACATAGTTTGATAATAAATCATCAAAAAGAATATTTAATTATAATGTAACTTCAATATAATTGATTTTTTAAAAGATGTACGGAGTAATTTAATTTTTTATATCTCAAATTTTTATATCATTTATTTGTTTAAAGTTTAAACTATTATTTATTAACAATCAAAGTGTAAGCTATTTTGATTAAAAAATCAAACTAAAACGATTTTTACGGAACATGTTAAGTATGCAGTATAACCTACCTAAGTATTCCGTGTTATTTAAAATCAAAACTTAAATTTTTTGAAGAATGAACACTAATAACTTTTTTACAATGTATAGTGAAGCTCTGAGAGTTAGCAGCTCTATTGGAGTTTCGAGCTTATGAACTCTCGTTTGAGAGAGCTACAATTATGTTAGAACTACAGATATATTGTGGGACCACAACGTTTTTTGCAAAATTAAAAGCTCAATCAAATATGGAGTATTTTCTTACTCTCAACATGTTTCTTAAATTTTAAATTTTGAATTTTCTTAAAAAACACGCTATATTATTTAGATAAACAATATTTTGAAAGTATTTCACACGATAAAACTAAAGAGATTATTCTTGTATTAAAATATAATATAAATTTTATGCTTAAATAATAGTCAAAGTTTATTATTATTATTACTCCGTATTATTTTCTTTTTATAGTCAAATTTTATTAATTTTGATGGTATGGAGTATTAAGTGTTCTAAATATGAAAAATTTATTACTCCGTATTATTAATGAGACACAATTGATTAAATGCATTTCATCATTTCCGTATAGTATGGCTGTATGGAGTAATAAACTTTCATATTTGGAATGTTTACCCAATACCCTAAAATTGGATAAATATTCTAAAAAGTAGATACTCGTCTCATCCTAGGACCTATTTGGTGAGTTTTCAAGATATGATACGTTACGGAAGTATGATAAGTTATGAGTTATGAAATCTAGAAGAAATGATATGAATTTCGAAATCTGAAACGAATTCCTTTGGAAAGATTTGTAATCATGATTTAATTAGTAATTAGAGGGTGATCGGCAACGGTTGAAATAGATATCAAACCTCAATATTCCAAATTCGGGAGATATTGAAACCCTCATATCTTGTTTGCTCACCAAACACACCCTTAAAATAATCATCTCTTTTTTTAAAGAAAGAAATTAATGATTTTTTTCTTTTCACTATTCAATTTATTACTCTGTATTAATTAATTATTTTGACAAAATTCTTAGTACCAAAAAAACAAGAAAAAAAACAGTAGAAATCATCCTAAATTAGATTAAAACATAGAGAAAGGTACCAAGATAAGACTTTCATGTTTTTTTTCCGAAATAGAACTTTGCACTGTGGTAATGTGACTTTGCATTGTGGTAATATGGCAGTGTACATGTGCAAATTACTATACTTTTTTGGTAATGTATATGACCATGTTTGGTAATGTAGTCATATTTCGAAATAAAAACATGTAAGTCTTATTTTGATATATTTTCAATGTTTTGCTACTACTTTGGTCTTTCTCCCAAAAAACAGAGATACTCTAGTAAAGTGTGGGACACACCTGGGAAGAGAACAACCGTGGGGCTGCCACCTCCACCGCTGGTACCCCTTCTCCGGCCGGCCGTGCTCTTGGCAGGTCAGCTGCGGCTGTATGTACGGACACTCTTCCTCCTCGTACAACGGCCGCCGCTCCTCATCCCGGACCCACCGCCCGCTAAAAACATCGCAGCCGTCCTCCGCCGCCTCCCCCACCGCGAACGCCCATTTCCGCCGCTTCTCCTCTAACCACATCAAAAAAAACAAAAATTAAAATCACATTTATACAAAATTGCAATTTGATTTCGATTAATTTACCGGTTATATCCTCCGTCCCAATCTATTCAATTTTTTCAAGTCAAATTGAACGAATTTTAATCAGAGAATATCTGGAGGGGAAGAGTAATACTCACCGTGGAGAGCGGCGGCGCGGAGAGCGGCGGGGAGGCGGGTAGATCGGGAGGAGGCGGAGAAATCGCGGTGGCGGAAAAAGCAGGACAGGTCTTCGCCGTAGATGAGGGAGGCGAAGACGACGAAGGCGAGAAGAGGGAGAAGTAGAGGTGAGAGGCGGCCGGACTTCTTCGCCGGAGTGGAGAAAGGAGGAGGAGACGGCGGCGGCGGATTCGTCATATTTTCCGACCACGCGTATTTTGGTGCGGGCATTTTATTAGTAGTCCGAAGTATTGCTGTTTAGTTCTGAGGTCGTTGCGGCGGAGGGTGTTTGGCCTTACAAGTCTTGTTTGGTTGTTAAATAAATGGATCATTTCATTTTCCGTGCAAGTAGTTAGTGTAGATTTCATTCTTTGTCAAAATATTATTATTAAAACTTATGATATAAGAAATCACTTTAAATTGGAATAAAATATAGAGAAATTATTAAAATAGAACCTCTGTGTTTTATCTCTAAAATAAGAAAGTTTGCATTGTGGTAATGTGACACTGTGTGTAAATATTTCATAATACTTTTTCGAAATGTAGATGGTTATGATTGGTAATCTAAATACATTTTCAATTCATATTTCAAGAATAAAAATATAGAAATTTTATTTTGGTATATTTCTCAATATTTTACTATTATTTTAGTCTTTTTCCCTTCCCATATACCGTCCAACTTCATTACTTACCACAAATCTATGATTAAATCCTAATTTATCTCCTCTCATATAATGTCCTATTGGTACTCGAAAGCACTCGAAATTTTTTCTAATTTCAAAATTCTCCGATTCTGAGATATCCGTCCACGACCTAGGTCGATCCGATTCAAAAAGTAGATATCCGATTTGATATTTTAGCTTTCATATATTTCGAATCGGATATCCAAAAATAATTTGGACCAGATATGGAATGACATATTAAGGTTTCAGATATCCATGGATATCCAAAGTTCATATTTTCAAAAAATAAATATAAAAATAAAGCTTATACAACTTAAGCCCAAATCATTTTCATCATCATAAATATTTAAATCTAAGCTTAATTCGAATTTTTACTTTAGTCATTTTGTCTATGTTTTATTTGTCAATTATGTTGATATTCATTTTTCCTACATTCATGAAATTATGGCTTATGAAAACACTACCCAGGTAACTATGACACTTAAAATAGAGTTGACTTCAAATTTTAGTCTAATTTATGACATCTACTATTTTAACAAATAAAAAAGTCATTCTAAATATTTTTTAGAATTATTGGTAAAAATAAAATTCAAAAACAAATAAGTTTTTTTCCTGATATTCCATTGATCCGATCCGAAATTTCAGGTATCCAAAAATCTAGTATGCGGCAATTTTTGGATCGGACATGGAATAGATATTTACCGATTTGAAAATTTTAGAGGTTCGAAAAACCGGATTGAATCGGATCAGATATATTCGAATGAACCACCTAACTCAGAAGCCCTCGAAGATGGGTTCATCCTTTCCATCGTCATAAAGAATCAATCTAATTATAAAGATGTTTACTTTTACTTTCCAAAGCATCTTTATTTACTTTAACTTTCAATAAATAAATAAATAAAAATCACTTCTCTATGCATTATTCACAAAGTGATACTCTACTAACTTTGCTGGATTGTTTTCATTATTTATTACTCCGTATATAAAATAATACTCCGTATAGTCATTTAACTCTTATTTTGTATAATCTTTTATATAATCTTTTTATTGCATAAATTTGTTTTTTAAATTTTATACTTATAGTTAAATAAATTGAATTGAAAATAAAATAAGTCAAACTTAATCACCCCAATAGAAAGATCAAACTTGAAGGGAGGAAATATCAGAGTATTGAATAATCTTAGGTAAGTAATTAAAATTTCTTTAGAACAAAAAATAATTACTTTAGATCAGATACTTGCTTTGCCGTAAAAAAGGTAAGAAAAGTAGAATAGATGAAAAAAGTGGAAAGACAAATGTGAAAAAGAAGATGATCCTCGTCCCAAGGGTCTCCTTAGATCTGGTCGGTGATTACTGAGAGAAGTAAATTAAACTTTGATCGCAGGCTGATAGCAAAAAATAGAACCTGCAATTAGTACTTGCAGTGATTCTATGCTTAGCATAATTGCCTATTAGCGCAGTTGTCAAGAATCCAACTCGAATTTATCACATCTTGATACTTATTGTCTTTGCTAATTGTGCAACAGTCACTTAAAAAAAACCTTCTGTGAAACAGATAGGGCTAGTGACTCAGATAAAAGGAGTGATAGGACACGCGAAAAAAGTGGAAAAGCTTTTGAAAAAAATTCTTTGAAGAATTTGTTCAACTCAACATTGATATTCAAAGACCGCCCTTGCTTTTGTTGCATGGATTTTTTCGGATAGGTGCCACTTCTCGTTCCTCAAACATTCCTCGTCAGATACGTAAGGGCATTTTCACACTCAAATTCTTGATAAATTATGAAAGAGTATAGTGCGAGCTCGGAAATATGAAAAATGTAGATTGCCCTGTGCAAAATAAAGTGTTGGCCTTATTTTCTCTTTTTTGCAGAGTACTTGTACTTAAAAGTTAGTGCTGAATTAAATTTTTATTAATCACTTTTATCACAAATTGAATGTCAAAATATAAATTTATATTAAAATTAAAAATATCAAACAATTATAATAATGAACATGGAGCTTGAAAATTTGAGAGGCCATTACGGGTGTCCAACTAGCATATCCTCCGGGCCACCCATGAAACTCTATATATATCAACGTCCTCATGTTTTGGTTGTTAGACTCAAACCTAAGAATTGTAATGCTTTGTTGGGAAGAAAGGGTAATCTATCATTTCATTCCCTTCCCTTGTGGCGGTTGTTAATTGTTATGATTGAGTGTTTTGGTAACAAATCAACCTCATTCTTGTTGGGAAAATAGGAAAAACATCCATATTTATGCTCTTTTTCGTTTTTCAAATGTATTTTTTTGCCTTCTTTTTTACGAATTTTGAAGAAAATATTTATCTTTGTGAACTATATTTGTACAGTAAACAGAGAAATTTTATACAGTGCACTAATTATTCCCTTAAAGTGAGATGCCAACTTTATTTTGAGATGTTCTAGAAGAAAAATGAAAATTCACTTAGAGACATGCACGAGAAATATGATGTAGCCTAATGTTGTGCTATCGTTAACATTTTCATGGTGCCTAGTCGGATCTATTTCTTTTAAGCTAAGGATCCATATGTAAACAACATTTATGATTAGCAATTAGAAACCCACAATGTTTGACAAAAAAAAAGTTTTACACTATGTTTCGTTCAAGGAATTCAGAAGGAAAAGAAAAATAATTGATTTTTTCTCATTTTCCTCTCCAAAATAGGAGGAATTTGATTTTCTTTCCTCTTTGCACATTTTGCTTACTCATTTTCTTTTTCATCCACTTTTCTTTTTTTACCTCTCTAACCAAACAAAAAACACTTTTTTCCATCTCAAAATCTTTTCTTTTCCTTTTCAAATTTATATATTTTGAAAAAAAAAACATGACCAAGTCTTGGGATAATTCACTATATTTTGAAAAAAGACAAGTATGAATTCAAGACCAATTAAATACGATTATTTTTGTTCTAAATACGAAGTATCTCACATTTACGTTTTATTATCCATTATCTACCACCTCCAATTAACCAGTTTTGCTTAATTCTTTTGAAGTTAAATTTAGTTCTGAGAGAAGAAAATTACTTAGTGCACAATCCAATGATCAGTCAAACAGTAGGTAAAAAAACAAATTGTTGATGAAGGCTCACAAAACGCAACCAGTCATAACAAAGAAATCCAAAAACGGACGAGCAGAAGATAAAAGACCATTCAAAAATTCCTTGCAAGAACAATCAATGCTCTCTCTCTACTAAGATTGTTGAATAACTACTGCAAGCTTTTGAAGAGAGGAGAGATTACTGCGGCCAAACAGTTTCGGCGGCAACCACAACTCCGCCATGAGGCACGGCGGCTGGGGCAGGGGCAGCAGCTTCGCCCCACCCATCAGGTACTGGAGATGATATAAAAAGATTGTAAGTTTTGGGAGCATAGCCAAAAGCTACGAATTTTGAAAAAACAAACGAACGGAAAATAAAAGTTGAAAGAAAAGAAAATGCAAAATTGTAAGTGAACCACTCCTTTCTTTTCCTAAATGGAATGAGACATTCACTTTGGGGATATGAAGTTCTAATAACAATAACTAGCAATGTGTATTGACATACCTGATGCCCAGTCCCCAGCAGGAGCTGCACTGGGTTGCTCATTAGTCCATTGGGAATCCGCAATTTGGCCAGTTGACCAGTCAGCACCATAAGGAGCAGTACCATAGTCATTGTATTCTTGAGCGGCGGGGGCATCTTCCTCCTCTTTTTCCTTGTTCTCTTTTTCATCCCTGTAGAAGAAAAGATCGACCTGCCAGAATACCAAATTGGAATTGTTAAAACATATTCTGCCATCTTAATTGAAGTTAAAATGTATTGTTTATTGTTCACACAAGCAAATTCAAATATATGGAGTATAGTCAAAGTACAAATGTCTCAAACACATACTCCAGAGCATATGTCCATGTTTCAGGGTATATTGTCTATCCAAAAGGTGAGTGGTTTGAAAATAAACCCCTCTTTTAGACAACTTACTTTGTGTAGCTTTTTGAAAAAGTGAAATGCTTTGTTCGAGCAGTCTTTTTTTAATCTATAAGTTTGGAAGCTTGTTTCTTGAAAACAGAAGGAACACTATAATACTTTATGAATGCAAAAAAGGTGTCTGAATAAATTACATACTTTTATGCAATCACAAGCTCTTGTTGATAAGTGTAGGGAAGAGATGATGTTTGAGGATAAAAATTTTCCAATTAAGGAACAGTTAAATGAGAATGGAACAATAGTAATGCATTCCAACAAAGCATGCCAGCATCTATTAAATATCAATATAATATAGAATAACAAATATTGCTATTACCATCACTTCCCATTTGTGACCAGGAGCAACACTACCGCGCATCTGCAGGACCATCCTTGCCAAGATCCAGAACAGAACTCCGATGCTGTGTTTCCCCTTGTTGTTTGCTGGGATACCAATATCAACATAGCGCATTGGAGAATCAGTGTCACAGAAAGCAATGGTAGGGATATTCCCAAGAGCGGCTTCCTTGATTGGCTGTTTCCATTTTGGTAATATAAAGGATTGAACACATGAGCAGATATAAGTTTAGATGTTTAGGGGTGCATTAAAGACAACTATATTAGTACAAAGGATTATTCTAGTTAGAACATAATGATAATCAAGTGGCTTTGAGTTAACCTGATGATCAGTTCTTGGATCAGTGAGGATAAGAAGTCGAGGCTCACTGTAGGAAGTTTGCATTTGATTGGTAAATGTTCCAGGAGTGTGACGCCCGGCAATAGCTTGAGCTCCAGTATATTGAGCAAACTTCAAAACAGCTCTCTGACCATAAGACCTTGCAGATTGGACAATTATGTCCTTTGGATTCTGAACAGCAACAATGACCCTAGCCGCAAGATAAAGTTTTTCCCAGGTCTTCGAGATGTTAATAATGTGAATTCCTGACATCAAGCAAGAATACATATAAGCCACTAGATTACATCCTCGTAATAATTCTCCATCAAGCACAATCAGATTGAATGTATGTTTTTCATTTCATCACAACAACAAAAAGGATTTCAAAATTTAACACTTTGTGACTTAACACCTTGTTAGCATAAAACACAGTTGAAAACAATAGAAAAAGTGCTATTCGTGAAATCAATACATTTACAACAAAGACTGACTTGACTTGTAACCATGATGAATAAAACACCATTTCACCCAATCATACACACGAGGGTTTAACTTGAGTTAACTTTCCTTTGACGGATTGATTTAAATATGAAATTGGGATGACATTTCGTGCATAGAAAACAATAATTATATCAAATTCAACACACACATACAGCACATAAAAGCAGATCTACGCATAAAGCCATAGATTGAAAGGAGAACATGGATGTCTATCTTACAATGAAAATAACCCACAAAATTTACTTTAAGGAATGCAATAGAGAAGGAATCATACCGTCTTTCCGGCGTTTGAAGACGTAACGCTCCATCTGAAAATCACAGTTTTTGGTGCCAAGATGGACATCAGCTGCCAACATCATTCGAATGTCGGCCTCCTTTGTTGACAAAACTCTCTGAGCTGCTGGTGTCTCCATCTTTGATTTTCCTTTCCCTGCCATCATAAATAACAGAATTTAACATCAAGAATGAATTAGACAGTAGTCTATTAATTATTTTTGCAGAAGACTATGGCAAACTGATCACGTAAAACAATAAATAACAAAAGTTTTTTTGCTTACGATATTTTCAAAATCCAAATTTAAATAAAATCGGGAGCAATAAGGAAAATGATTTTTTAATTGATTTGGAAAAGGGACCTTGATTCAGTTTAAATTTTAATTGGATACGTAAGACAAATCATTAACAATGATGGTGTTAAATCAAAAGTGAGGACTGGGCTGAGTAGCTTAACCTCCTTGAGTGTTCTATATTGTATATCCTAGCTTAAAACCAGCCATAACACTAGATCCTATCTTTTTTAACAACCCCAAGACCAGCTAATAGATTTCTCTAAAAAGTGGATCATTTGAACAAAAAAATATACAGAGAATAATGATATAGTCTAACAAAAAAGACTGTATAACTTGACTGAGAAAATAGCCAACGGGTACAGACTTGTGGCATCCTAGTCTGTACCACGTTGTTTGGCACCTTAATTTACACCTCTTAACAATTCATATACTCTTAGGCTGCAAAATTGCCAGTTAAGTCAAGTTATATTTACTGAAAAGGAAAAACAATTTTTCTTCAATTAGTCTACTGCCAGTACTGCATATACTCTTCAAATTCAAACGCCACTTTTCTGATTAAATGAATTAAACCTCAAAACCAGTTTCAAAAAAATAGTTTTCATACCAAAACCTCAAACCCAGCCCATGATGAGCCTCTACTCACTCATTTTCATTTTAAAATAACATAGACAGTCATTAAACTGAGCAAACAACATTTGTTTATATCAGATTCACGCAGATCGAGACAGAGATCGTCGCAAATGCAATCACAGAAATTAGCATTTTAAAATCGCCATTTTACTTAGGTTTTGAACAGAGGTTAACAAACCCGGAAAAAAAAATCACGAATAACATTCAGATTTCGAAACGAGGATGAAGAAATCAAACTCTAACAGACATCAACAACAAGATTTTCTCATATTTTCGCAGATTTCAATTATAAAACCACATATCCTAGTACTACGAGCGTAGATCTAGAGTCTCGAAATGTTACCCTTGAAGCTCTGCTCTAAACAGAGCTCGGCAGAACTTGATCTTCTCGGCCGCTCCTGTGATCCTGATAAGCCCGGACTGTGAAACCCTCGCTCAACTCTTCTGTAAAGCGGAAGAAAGAAATCTTTTATTCTTGATCTAGGGTTTTAACATTCGGAACCGCCCATTTGCAATTACTATTGGGCCTATCTATTTAGAGCCGGCCCAATTGTAAATATTATCTCATCTATCCTATTTTCGATACCCTCATTTCTCTTCCTCCTTGCACTCATAGTTTTCAGAACCGAACCGGTGATCGAACTGGTCAAGACACTGGTTCACTGGTCGAACCAGTGGTTTGAGTGGTTGAACCGGTGGTTCAAACATTTTTAATAAATAGATAAATATATATATAAATAAAATAATATAAAGAAATATATATATGTGTGTGTGTGTGTATGGATAGATACGTTGTGACATTGAATTAAAAAATTAATATATGAGTAAATAAAATAATATTTCCTCTATTTATAAATAAATAATTGATGTCTTATTAAATTTAAAATTTAACTTAATTTACTTGAGTTGTGTCATTAACTAAAAAATAAAATTTACTTATTGAAAAAAGTTTATAAATAAAATGTTATTTGAATTTTTTTAAACATTTTACCTATTATTTAAAAATATATATATAATATTTGTTTGATATGCACTCCCTATCAATTATATCAATGGGTTTTGAATTTTCCTTTAAAAAAACTAAATATGTATATGTATTTAGAGTATTTGATAATAACAAATTTATTTTAAGAATATTACAAACGAAAAGTAGGGAGTGACCACCAAGCTCTGTAGCGGAGATGGTCTGCGGCTGCCCCTTTGTACAATACATCCTGGGTTCGAATCCCACCGATGTGTTTTTTAAAAAACTTCAAAAGGAGTTAAAAAACTATGCTTGCACTAGATGTAAAATTTTACTCCGAGTATAATTTTAAAAATTATTTTTCTGACAATTTCATATAAAAATAAAGTATAAAAACACCTTTTGAAGGCATATAAAAGGTTCTACTAAAAAAGAGACAAAAAATAATTTTATTTTGCCAAAAGATTAATCTAAACATACGAATAAACAAAAATTATAAAGGGATCATAATAATAAAAGGGACCTTCATTTTGGTATGGAGTATTTTTAGTCCGTTTTAACTTACATACAAAATACAGCGCTTTTTAATTTATAATTGAATTTCTATATTTTTATGGTAATAAATTGAAAGTATGCTAGAAATGTGGGTAATATCACCGGTAGACGGTGGTATGTGAAATTTATGCGTTTTTTTTCAAATAAATTACTAAATTTTGTTTTTTATTCAAGAAAATTATTTAAAATATACAAGTTCCTTCACTATTGATTTGAGATCATTTACTAATCATTTTGTTTAGTCTCCATGGATAGCGATGCATGATGAATTGGATCTTACTAGCACTAAACATTTTTAGCTCGAATCCTGTCTCAGCAAAATGACTAGTAGATAGATTATCTAATAATTGTTTTAAAAAAATTATTGAAAGATTTATTAAAGTTTAGATCTTTTTATAGAAAATGAAGTCTAAATAATTAAGTGAAAAAACGTCAAAAATTCATGTACCACCATTTAAATGTATCCGCAAAGGAAAATGGTGTGAAAGTAACAGTCTGTTCCAAATTAAATTGCATATTTACTATTCTCATAGTCAAATTTTATTCACTTTTTTTCTCTAATTTTATAAGTTATTTGATACAATAACATAATAATGTCACCACTAGTTCTGTAGATCTTTTAATATAGTTTTTAAATAAGTAATTTTTGTTTTTTAATTTTATTGTTTTTTCAAATAAAATCATTTGAAAATAATTTCAGTCAAATATTATAAACCAAAATGGACGATTTAAATTAGAACGGAGGGAGTATATATTGTGACTTTTGACTATTTTATCCTTCTCAAAGAGAGTGTTCATTCGTCGTGATTGAAAGTATGTAATATACTCAAGATTCGTTGGTGGCAAGAGTTTTTGTGTATAAAATCTCTCTTTGATGAAGGTAATGGATATTTGGGAAATGAATGTCCTTTACAATTATAAAGACTTTAGGTCATTCAACAACTTGTGTATTTGCTTGTTCATTGTACTTTAGTCGGATGTTTAATTTGAAGATTGTCTTGCTATTTTATATCGAATTTGATAATATTTGTTTGCTCTTGTTTAAATCTTTTTGAGAACCTGGTACTCGCATCTTGATGGAAGATGTAACACACCAACATTGTTGATACTTTTCTACCATATTTTATAGCACCATTTTTAAAAACGTGTTTTAGTATTATTTAGTTACACTGTAGATATAGAGTTTGATCATTTATAATATTTATATTTAAATTTATAAATGACTATGCTTGAATTGAGTTGGCAGATCAATGAAGACATCTAGTAAGAAGATGGAGAGGAAGAAAGCATTATTTTATGTGAGATTTAAAATTATAATGACTTAGTCGACACAAAAGGGCGCGTCAAAGATGCGACATCAAAGGTCATCAAGTTTAAAAGAGCAAATTGTTATCACAAAAGACGAAGAAAATTACGATTAGGGGCTAGGATTGTTGTGGATAGAAGGAAATGAGCTTTTCTTTTTATTCTCGTAGCTGCTATATATTAGAAATTGAGAATATAGTAATAAACTATATTGTATTTTTTAGAAGATGCGTTGGAGACCATTTTTTAAAATAGTAAATGACATATCTGCTACCACATGTGTACTATTTTCTAGTATATACTTTGTGCAGTAAAACAAAATATATTTTTGACATCTAATAAAATAAAATATATATGTATATACACACACACTACGTATATATGATGTATTAATTGAATAAAAGAATATCTTAAAAATATTATACTTCGTACAATGTAAATTTTAAAAAATTATTTTGTATCAATATTTAATACGGATTATTATTTTTATTTAGTTAGCAAACAGAATTTATTAATTTTGATTAAAAAAAATTAAAATTAAATAAATACTCCCTCCGTCCTAAAACTTTTTTCCTTGAGCACTATTCCAACTTCAATAGAATTTATATTTATTTGTGTTTTTTCATGGCCTATATGATAAAATAAAATATTCTTGTCACCACTTGTTTTGTTGAACTTTTGATGTATTTTTAAATATGTATGTTTTATTTTTTATTTATATACCAATATTTAAATAAAATAGATTGAAAAAACTTGAGATTTTTCTTCGTTTTGCGAACCGGGAAGAAAGATATAGAATGGAGGGAGTACTCTGTTATTTTTTTGGATTTAGTCCATTAACTACCCTTAAAACACAAGCGCAAGGCGCGCCGACGGCCAACTATGGAGCCGACGAACCAAGCACTAACATCTACTCGATTCTCCGACCTTAAGCTCAAGACGCCGCTATCGGAAGCCGTTCTCGAGGCATTGAATAATGGAGGATTCGAGTTCTGCACGCCGGTTCAAGCGGCCACCATACCTCTGCTCTGCGACCACAAGGATGTCGCCGTCGACGCCGCCACCGGGTCCGGGAAAACACTAGCTTTCGTCGTCCCGGTGGTCGAGATTATACGCCGATCTCCCCCTCCTAAATCTCACCAGGTCCAGCATTTATTTCGAGTAATTTTGAGTTTAATGCTCATTGGTCCCTCCAAGTGTATTCACTACTCAATTTGGACTTCATTTGATTCAAATTAGTCTCTATAAATGTGAATCAAGTTAGTCCTTTGAACTGAACTTATCTCCCAAATTTCTGAGATATCACGTTAATTGAAGCAAGAGCAAAGACCCGGTGTATTAGTTTTTGTGTCAGTTAACTTGTTACCTTAGAATTTTAGAAATATAAATTTTGCATAGTGAGCTGATTTGATTCACATTTCCTAGTTACAAGGACTAATTTGACCAAATCGTTAACTCGTGGGTAGCTAATGAAGGTGTGCTCGTTTGAATTTTGAATGCAATGCGAAATTGATGAAAATCACCATACTTTTGTAACTATTTGATGAAAATAAACAAATTTTTGCAATTTTTTGATGAATATTATGATGAACTCCAATAATTTTGTAATAAATTATTGATAAACTGCCTAAAGTATTGCCGTTTAATTTCCCCTGAAAATGATTTCCAACGAGTATCAGCTAAATAGAGTGCAAAGTCTAAATTATCTTGAATAATGATCATGCGAAGTTGTAGCTGTATACAACACGACTATGTGCTACTTATCCAAAATCTCACTATTCGGGTTCTTGCAGATAATGGGCATGATTATATCACCAACTAGGGAGTTATCATCACAGATATTTCATGTTGCTCAACCTTTCATTTCAACCCTGCCCAATGTTAAGCCAGTGCTTCTTGTTGGAGGAGTGGACGTGAAAATGGATTTGAATAGAATTGAAGAGGAAGGGGCGAATTTGTTGATTGGCACACCAGGAAGACTTTATGACATAATGGAACGTATGGACTTGTTAGACTTTCGGAATTTCGAGGTATGTTTTATCTAATGGCACCCTAGCAAATTCTGCTTTGTGAATATTGAAGGTTTTGGAGTTTACATGCCATGCTATTTAACTAAAGATATTGGATCATATGCATATATTCACCATGATTTCAAGTCTAAGACTCGTAGAGGTTGTACTGTTGTGGTATTCGTAGTATTCAGCAAAAGAGATTTAGTTGGGAAATCATTGAAAGAGGTAGCCATGTTTCCTTCCTTCTCTATTCTTTTCCTTATGGATGGGGGAAAACTTGAATTTATGCTCCGGCAGAGGCCAAGAGAGTTACAAAGCGAGTTATATCTTGTCTCCTCTAGACCCTTTTCAACAAGTGTATGTTGTTCCTACAGTTTGCTGTCCTTGATGCACTATGAATGCAAAACATTCTTGTCTCCTCTATTCTTCTTCTCCATTGGTTCACGCTTTTCTTCCATTTTTGTTTGCTTCTTGGACTTTTGTTATATTGTGCTTTTGTTGTACTAGTTGTTCACTGTGTTGCTTGAGCGGGGTGTCTCTTGGAAACAACCTCTCTACTTTTAGTAGGGGTAAGGTACTAAGGTCTACGTACACATACCTCCCCAGACCTGCTATTGCGAGATTCTACTGGGTTGTTGTTGTATTCTTCTTCTCCTATTTTTCCTAAACCTAACAATGACTAAGAGATCAGTGCAAACCATAAATTTTGCTGTTTGCCCAGGTTTTAATTTTAGATGAAGCTGACAGGCTACTAGACATGGGATTCCAGAAGCAAATAAACTACATTATATCTCGCTTGCCAAAACTACGCCGAACAGGTCTATTTTCAGCTACTCAAACTGAGGCAGTTGAAGAGTTATCAAAGGCAGGATTAAGGAACCCGCAAAGGGTTGCAGTCAAGGTTGAAGCAAAATTGTCAAATGGTCCTACATCCTCTGGCCAACCTGCCTCTTCAAAAACCCCTCTAGGCCTTCAGTTAGAGGTATCTTAACTATCTATATTCCTTTTTAGAGCTAATACTTGAAATGGGGTTAATGGGCCATCGACCATACACTAATAATCTATTTGGTCCTCAAGAATCCAATGTGGGTTGTAGTTCTCATTCATATTTTTTCTAATTAAAGAAATATATTTTCATATGTTCATGGATAAATTAGGGTTATTAGGTCCAAATTACGAGGGTGAGGGCATAATCGAGTCTGAAATTGGGTCTAATTTTACTGAACGGACAAAAATACCATTCTCATTTAGAACCAAATATGTACAAGGAGTATATTGTGTCCACATTTCATAGTAGAGTCCAAAAAAAAAGTGGATGACGCAGTTGAGCAGTAGTGAATAGTCGATGGGTTAACTCCTCTTTTTGTACCGAGTGCTATATTTTCACCACACACTCAATAACACCATTGTTTTATGTCTGTTTACGTGTGTAGTATCTTGAATGTGAAGCAGACCAGAAACCATCACAGCTTGTCGATCTCCTAATTAAGAACATGTCTAAAAAAGTGATAATGTATTCATTTTTATTTAATGGTTTTTGTTTTTATCTACATCTTTACATACAAGGAAAGAGAGTCACACTTATTACAATCGTCAATCTCATTATTCTTGCAGTTATTTTATGACTTGTGCATGTGTTGATTACTGGGGAGTTGTTCTTCCTCTTATTTCTTCTCTGAAAAAGCTACCCATAATACCTCTTCATGGAAAGATGAAGCAGGTATTCTTTTTAGTGAGCCAGGAATTTGGTACATTTCAAACATTGTTATGTAAAAATAGTATGTTTTTAAATATTTCTATGCCACAAATTTATACATGCTTCCTGTTCTGCTTTTTTACTGTAGTCTCTTAGGGAGAAAGCAATCTCATCAATTACATCTCTTTCCAGTGGCGTTCTCGTGTGCACTGATGTTGCAGCACGTGGACTTGATATACCAGGTGTTGATTGTATCATACAAGTGAGTTTTGTTTCTTCTTTGTTAAGGATTACTTTTGAGCAAGCGTAATACTAACTAGTATCATAGTTTGTAAGGCGGTAAGGCAAGGCGAGGCGAGGCGCCAATATACCTTCATACTGCCTAGGCGACTAGGCGGACGCCTAGGCGACTTATAGACACACACACACACACATATATATACATATATGTGTATATATATATATATATATATATATATATATATATATATATAGGGCACAACATACCACAATATTATAAATAATAAGGCACAACATATGAAACAAAAGTCCACACATAATCTGAAAAAGAAAGAAGGGTTTAATTCAAAAGAAAAACACAATTCAAAACAAGTGAATCTCCATCCCTCTGGTTTAATGAACCAAACATGCATGTCTAAAAATTATCATTGAATAGGTCATTCAAATGGATATCATTATCTGTGTCAGTGTGTCCATAGATTCATCCTGGACAGTAGATAAATCAACACCATAGTTATCCTCAATTTGCTCATCATCATTTGGAAATGGTTCAACTTCAGTATCTGGGCTGCACTAAAAGGATGGGCTGAACTAAAAAAATAGGCTGCACTAAAAAAATTGGGCTTTTCATAATTTTGAAGTGACCCAAGGCGTCTAGGCGAGAAAGGCGATATAAGGTGAGGTAAGGCGACGCCTAGGCGAGCGCCTGACCGCCTGAGGGTTTTCTGGGCGAGGCGAGCAAAACATAACGCCTTAGCGCCTAGGCGACGCCTTAACAACTATGACTAGTATTTTTTTTTCATGTTGCTATCGAGTTTTTTTACTCTGCTGTAGACTTGTAGTGTTTGATGTCCCACCACGACTTACTATTAATTGTTCTAAGATAACAAATGCCAGTTGATAGAACTCAAAACTGGCAGGGAGAATTAATGAAGGCAAGTCTTTTTCAAATTATGAAATCAGAATCTAAGTTTATTAAATACTAAAGATAAAGGAAAATCTTTATTAGAATATGAGCAAGAATCGTAAACTCATATACATAATAAAGCCAACGAGAATCTCCAATAATAAATATTAAATTACTTTCTGAATAACTTGTACATACAATGAGCCTCAATATTTATGGAAGCCAGATAACTACTATGTACTAATCCCTAGAATTTAGGCCCACTACCACATTACCTAGTAACTATTCCTAGACTTTAGGCACACTACCACATTACATAGCAACTACTCCTAGAATTTAGGTCCACTTACACATTATTTACTACTTAGTAACTAACATATAATAAAACATCTGACCTGAATCTATTATAAATATTAATAACATAAAATAACAGCATATGTGGCACTCTATCACCTACCAGTCCTCAAATTCTTTAATTATTTCTGTTTTTTTCTAAAGTCCTTTGATAAACAATGGTTTTGAAAATAATCAAATATAAGAAAGTCATAAATTTTTACCTCTATATTCCTTGGTGTCGGTGTATATCTCACCTTCCCATGCCCAACTTTTGAGTGGAACACAATGGGTTTGTTTGTTTGGTTTTATGGAAGTCATTTTATATACATAGTTCATTGTATCTCAAAGTTATTAGCATCATTTTTTTAAATGCAAGTTCATCCCAGTGAAACTACAACCTTTCAATTCTCTATCTGCAGTATGACCCACCTCAGGATCCAAATATGTTTGTTCACAGAGCAGGCAGAACAGCTAGGTTAGGGAGGCAAGGTCATGGTATCATATTGCTTTCACCAAAGGTATGCTTTTTTTGCTATTTTACACACTCAATTTAACTCAAACTTACTATTTGAGCCAAGGGTATATCGGAAACAACCTCTCCGCTTCTCACCGGTGGATGTAAGGTCTGAGTGCATCGTTCCCTCCCAGACTCACTCTTGGGATTACATTGGGCCTGTTGTTATCATAAAATCATTATTATTTAACTCAAAGTTAGCCTTATCTTTCATCCGTCAAAAGATCAGAAAGTTTTATATTCATGTCTTACACTTTGTTTTATTAGCGTGAACTGGAAAGAAAGAAATAGTAGAGAAATTGAGAACTCCTCTTGATTGGTGAGAATTGAAATGCGAGAGAAAAAGCTTCCCCAATTTTTACTGATTTCTTCTGAATTTATCTCCTACCAAACAAGACATAGAATCTACAAGAATTTTCTCATCTCCATCTAGTTCTCACCCATTTCTCTCTCTTTTTCTTCCCTAAATCAACCTAAGGTTTCACATAATTGATAGGTGTTCATGTTCGCTGTGTTTGAACCATTTTAGCTTATACCTTTATCTTTTTGCCAATTTATGTTCATATGTTCTCTATTGATTAAGCATCTGGATTGTGTTTTTTGTAGGAGGAAGCATATGTTGAGTTCCTACGGATAAGAAGAGTTCCACTTGAGGCAAGAGAATTTTCAACCGATGCTCCCGATGTTCTTCCTGAGGTGAGCATTAATCTTATAGCACCAGAGTATTCCTTTATTGCATGCTGTTTTTGGTTTTTTTCTTTTCTTTTATGCACTAAAAATTATTCTAAAAAAAGAATGATAAACAGATTTCATAGAGTTTGAATGGTTTGTTTTAATTTGTATTTAAGTGAAGAGACAGAAAACTCGTAGTATAGGAAGTTTTGTAATGGAAATTATGATTAGTGCTCTCTTATCTATCTGTGTATTATAGCATAGATGGATAACAAATCTTTTTCTGAATTAAAATTCTCCCTCCGTCTTCAAAAATGAGTTTTGGTTGTTCAACGTATAACTTGTAAGTTTTGGAGGTACAAGTGTAAAATGTCATAAATCATATTTAAATTCATAACCCTTCAAAAAAATATTTATATTTAAAAGATTTATTTGCAGGATTATCTAATTGTATGATGTATTAGTTTGGATCTTTTTTGGCATAGTATTGGGAAGTTGGTTGAAAAATTAGCCTCATTTGATGAAAAAAATGAAACAAAGTTTTTTTTCCCGCTAGGGCGGAAGGGGTACTATATTTGGTCACGAAGAAGAACATTTCATCATTTTTTTCTCATTAGCTTATACTCCATCCATCTCCAGATCAACTTTACATGATCCATTTTCGGATGTCTAAAAATCAACTTCAAATCTCTCCACTTTCCGTTTTAGGAAATAAATATGCGGACAACTCTATTTCTCTCTTTCATATAGATTTCAACCACACATTTTTCATCAATCACTATTCACTTTTCAACATTTTTCTTAAACTCCGTGAAGTCGAAGTGTCAAGCCATTTTGGAGACGGAGGAGTATGTATATGCAACTTAATGAAGCAAGTGATTTATTTTTAAAAATTGTCTCTCTCCAGATACGGTTAGCAGCAAGAAAAGACCGTGATGTTATGGAAAAGGGAACCAAAGCATTCGTGTCTTATATCCGTGCTTATAAAGAGCACCACTGCTCGTATATCTTCCGGTAATGCAAATTTATAAAAAATAATCCTCATAAATTTTCATAAAATGCCTCTTGCTCTAATGCTCAATACAATGCTTTCTGCAGATGGAAAGAGCTTGAGATTGGAAAGTTGGCGATGGGATATGGCCTGTTGCAGCTTCCTTCTGTGAAAGAGGTGAAGCATCATTCTCTTTCAACTAAGGGTTTCATTCCAGTCCTCGATATAAACCTTGAGGAGATAAAGTACAAGTAAGGCATCTTGTATTTAGTTGTGCTCGCACATTCATCTACCGATTCTAAATATCAATATGATTTGTTAGATCAAAATGTGTCTTTTTATAAATACAAGAAAGCGTCATATAAATTATTTTTTCCCCACTTTTTACCTTCTTCACTTTCTTAATTCTCAATAGAGTAACTTCTGATATTCCAAGAATGGGTAATTAAGGACTGTTTAGGCATAGTACTTTTTTCAAAATAAATTTTCATGCATGTCAGTGGAAAACTTAAAAAAGTGTGGTGTGCAATAGATTAATATTGATGAGGTTCATGTGTGGAATAAGGTATATAGCCTTTTCTTTTGGGTGCTACGGGTAGTAAAGTTCATGCTTTAAAGGCTCGTTTGGAATATGGAAAATGTTGGGTTGAAAATGAGGGAGGAAGTTTGAGAGAATTTTTTGAATGAGATTAGAATAATGGGGAAACAAAAGATCTGTTCAAACTCAATAAGTTTATTACGGAGTATAATACATGTTTGCTCAAGATTGTTCTTTATGTAACTCTCTTTAGAATTATTACATATTTCTGTTTTTAGAAGTGAATAATGTTGTTCTTTCCCCCTTTTTTGAGATGCAAACGTTCCCACCCGATACAAGAACCGTTTGTTGATTGATGTCTAAACATGGTTTGGATCTGATATCTCTCGCTTTCACAACCCTCCTAACTCCCAAATGGGGTGTTTTGATATCTCCCAAAACGGGTAGATATCAATTTGGAGATTTTGATATCTCCCTCAACCATTAGTCATTATCTATTAGTCATTACTCAACTAAATGTCCAGCATCATTTGGACATTATTCTTCTCACTAGTCATTATTAAGTCCTATTCAAGGAATAAAAAAGTTTAAGTTCTACATTGAGAAATGACTTGTGTTTTGTGCAAATTTTACTGTAATTGTTTTTGCAGGAACAAAGCTCGCGAGAAGCAGAGGAAAAAGAACCTGGAGGCGAAAAAGGTCGCAAAGCAACAAGAAGTGAAGAAGCCGAAGGCGAAAAACTCGAGTTCATCAAAAGCCGCCGCCGATATGAAGAAGCAGACTGCAAAGAAGAGACGTGCCACTCAGTCGGTTGAAGACGACGAGGAGATGGCTAACGAATACCGCCTGTTGAGAAAGCTGAAAAAGGGTGCCATTGATGAATCCGAGTTCGCCAAGTTGACAGGAACCCAAGACTTGCTTTGAATGAACTATGGCCCTTTTACTTCTGGTTTAGCTCTAAAGTGTGTTTTTGTAGCCATAGAATTAACATTAGCCCTCTTGTGATTTGTGAACATACTTGCAAAACTTTGGAGTTAAAAATGAGTTAAAAATATGAAATTCTTATTTTGATGTTTTCTCAATGTTTTACTCCTAATAGGATATATTTTTTATGCACTTTCCTTAAATTTGCCAAAAACTAAAATGAGAATTATTTTTCGAAGCTGAGAGAGTATACAACATGAAAGAATAAAAATCATTTGACAATATTTGTATTGGAATTTTTTTGGTGTATCTTTTTTTGAGGGATTATTATGGAGTGTTGTATTTATAATTTGAGTGTTGTTAAGTTCATCTCAAATTTATTTATCTCTAAAGTTTGATTTTGTAGCCATAGATAGAATTAATATTATTCCCTCTTGTGAACGTACTTCCAACTTCCAAAACTTTGTGTTTAAAATTATGGAAGTTTTATTTTGTTGTTTTTCCAATATTTTTTACTCTTAGCTCGGTAGATTTTTTTAATACATTTTCCTTAGATTTGCCAAAGATTAGAATAAGAATTATTTTTTGAGATGGATGGAGTATGATGGGTGAATAAATAAAAATTATTTGGCAATATTTGCTTAAAAATATATTTATTATTTTTTTATGGGATTATTATGGAGTGTTATATCTATAATTTTTGTTAATGTTGGAGTATATTTAAAAGAATTTATTGGTAAAAAAAAACTAACACGAAAAATGAAACACACAATTAATAAAGAGTGAGGGACGTAACTTGTAGTTAGAGTAATAATTAGATCCTTTAATGTACACTCTTGGTTCCAAAATAAATTTTAAAATTTTTCTATTCTAGCTACCCCAATATTGAGCTCTCATTTCTTCACTTTCTAAATAAGAAAAAAACATGTTTTGGAGTAATTCATAAAAGTTTTATGTTTTAAGTAAATGTTTGCGATAGTTTTTTATTTTTATGAAATAATATTTTTTCTCCATTAACTTCGTGAAACCAAACCTCGTGGAGTCAAACGTTAAATTTCATTTTGGGATGGATGGAAGATTAAAATTGGGTTTTGGGCTGCTTTTACAGTTGCCATTGGGCTATTCAACAGCTATAGGCCCAAGAAGACCCCAATTCGCGCGCGTTTGGGTGCTGCAAAATACGACGTCGCATTCACTTGCTCCCCTTCTAGAGCAACCGGAGCATTTCTTGATTCTTTCAATGTAATTTTGAAACTTGAAAGCTGGCGTTGATCTGGTTCTCGGGGGAGAAGAAATGAAGAAATCCGATAAAATTGCATTTTTATTTGCAATACTTTTCGCCGAATTTAGCCTTTATGCGATCGGAGAAGAAGTATTTGATGTTCGGAAACATCTCTCCACTGTATCTAGGCACGTTTCTGCTCCATTTTTAAGTTTTAACATGCGATTTATTACATTTGAATGCATTTCATGTGAATTCACTGTATGTTTTCTGCTCAGTTATTCTCTGTGCGTGTTTTGTTTGTAAATTTGCTCTTGTCTGGCGGCATACTGTGTCTAGATTTTGTTTTTTGGTGGGATGGATTTTGATTTTTTTGATAAATCATCAATTCGTGCTTAGATTTAATTTTTTTTCACTGTTCGGATTGGTGCAGATATGGTGCTGTGAAGGATATACTATCAGGCGAATCGGTTGTGGCTTCTGAGATCCCCAATCAATGTACCCCAATTCACTTAAATCTCGTGGTAATTTTGAACTGCAATCTGATTTTGTCCATGCATGCGAAATTGAATGTCTTTTTCTAGAAAGGATAACTAGTTTTTGTGGCCTTAGAATTTGATTTATGAGTTTAATTTGTGTATATTTGGATTGAACTTGTCTAGTAAGATTCATTTGATGACCATATACTATGGTTTGCCATTTTCAGTATAGTGCTCTTAGTTCAAGATGCAGTTATGTTGCATGCATCTGAATGATTCTAGTGGAAAATGGTGCCAGCTTTTCGATTTCTGTGGTGCAGTTTTTCTAACATATGTAAAAACTGTACACACTATTTATTCTGTAAACTGACTTGTTCAACTGGAAAACTTTCTAATACAGTTGATACTTGAGAGATAAAGCTTAATGAATTTCAAGATTGGCATTTTGATGTTGCAATCTAATCTTGTAATGGGATTTCAATTCATTGTCATTTCATGATACTTTACATGCAAGTTAAAATAACCTATGATGGTGGCGGTTCTGAAATTCTATATCATCATTGCTTTTGCGGTTTTGAAATTCTATATCATCATTGCTTTGTAAGAAGGTTGCGGGTTAAGGGCGTCCACTGTTAAAAAAAATCATCATGTTTTTCCTCATATATTTATAATTTTGGCTAATGTTAAACAATCACTTGCCATGATAATAATTAAGACACCTACTAGCTGAGATTAATTTTAGACAATTCAACCCCAACAAGTTAGGATTAGGGATTGTAGTGGTGGTGATGTGAGGGCATTTGCTGTCAAAAGTTAAAATATGCATGGTAAGATTCAGCTCATTCCACATATCTATCTCATATATTCATGTGAGAAAAAAGTGTTTCTAATTTCTATGAGGGGAAGGACAACTTATCTCAGAGATAATTTTTAAAGTGATTATACTATATCCTATTTTAAGGTTCAGTGAGAGTGTGAGACTTGTGTTTAATAAACAGCATAACTATGTTGATAGGCTAGGCATGGCACTCGTGCTCCAACGAAGAAAAAGATAATGGAGTTAGATGCCTTATCCAGCCACCTAGAAGTCCTTGTGAAAGATGCAAAAGAACAAAGGAAATCATTGGAGAAAGTTCCTGCATGGATGCGTGTATGGAAGTCTCCGTGGAAGGGGAAACGCACAGGTGGAGAACTTATTGCTGAAGGAGAAGATGAGCTATATAATCTTGGGATAAGAATCAGAGGATATTTTCCAGATCTCTTTAAGGAGGAATATCATCCAGATGTTTATACAATTAAGGCATCTCAGGTTGGTGTTTTAACCGTTTAATCACTTGGTACTTTTGGGTTTATAATAATAGGATTGAAGTCTGGAAGGCTTTCATTCTAATTTGTTTTTGTCCACTCATGCATTACTACATTATATTTTAAATGATCACGGTTTTCTCTGCCATGACCCTTCAATGCTTTATTCTTTGGCTGACCTGAGTGGATAGGGCTATCAATATGTTTACTGGTTTACTACGGAGTACTATACAATTCTCTCATTGAATCATTGTTTATCATGAACATGTATGTAGAAGATGTTTCCTTAAAACATACTTGCAGTTATTTCCCCTTCAAAATGCGGTCTAATCTTTCTGGTTACATACTCTTTTCCTCAAGCGATCTTATTCTTGCATTAATGAAAGGATGTTTTTTTAGGTCCCTCGGGCATCAGCTAGTGCTGTGGCCTTTGGCATGGGCCTTTTTAGTGCAAGAGGGAAGCTTGGGCCAGGCAAAAATCGAGCATTTGCAGTTAGCAGTGAAAGCCGTGCAAGTGACATAATTCTGAGATTTCATGATTGTTGTCAAAGCTATAAGGTAAATCTGTAAACTGTATTTAGAGAATTACCCTGATTGGCATGTAGTGAGTGAGATGTATTATGACTATGATGATACCTAGGTCGAGGTCTTTCATCTGAAGATTAGATTTAGCATTCAGTTTAGATATTTTACCTAAATCACATTTGATATCTAGTGTTCTGAGTGGTCACATACTCAAATAAAAAATACTCCGTAGCTATTTTCCTGTCACTCCCTAGGTGAATGGTCACCAAGCTGGACACTGCCGTTCTGATTTTAATTTTCTACTTATTCTTAATAAAGTCTTCATGTTCTTTTTATCCAGGAGTTCAGAAAGAGCCAACAACCTACTCTTGACAAGCTCAAGGAGCCCGTCTTGAATGAAATTACTAAGGATTTTATAAAGAAGTATGGGCTTAACTTCACTAGGCAAGATATATCTTCTTTATGGTTTCTCTGTAAGCAGGTCAGTGATCTATCATCGGTGTTAAATATGTTATCAAGTGAATAATTGAAGGCAGTGCTTTCTCTTATTCTGAAGTATTATTCAATTTGTTTTGGCAGGAAGCATCATTATTGAACATAACTGGTCAAGCTTGCAGTTTATTCAGTCCGTCTGAGGTACTTTGTAATAGCTCTTTGACGATGTACTGTCCTTCTTCCTTGTTGATTTACTCGTGCCTGAAACCCTCCCCTTCATGGGAAAAAATAAAGAAAAATCAGAAAATTTGGACCATGCTGTTTTCATGGAATCACTTTCCACTCAAGAGTGGAATCAGATTCCTACCTCCCCCCCTGAGAATAGTTTTCCTTCTCCAAGAACAAAATAATCACAATTAAGTACGGAGTACTTATTTGTTGGTCAAATGTGATCCCAAACTGTAGATTCTATTTCCTCCCAATTAATTTCCATGGATAACAGTTTTCTTCCTTCATTTACCCATAGGACTTTCATCATTAGATAGATAGATGTGTTAAGCTCATCAATGTTTTTTTGGATAGTCAATATGCAATGCCTTGCTGTGAATTCTTATTCAGTTAATC